AGACAAAGTGCTCTTTAATCGATTGTGACTCTTCGCCATAAACTTTACGAGGGAAACAAGCCCACCAGGACCCTCAGACAGAGCTGTCAATTAGCATCAGCAGCCAGGGGTGGAGGTGGGGGTCAGCTTTTGGGTTAAAACACACACACACACAACCCTTGGAGGGGGCCGGCGGAGGCTCTCCGCTCCCCACTGAGCTCTCCTGGCTCCGCTGCTCACAGGGCGACACTTGCTAAATCACGAAAGCAACTAAAATTAGCTTATCTGGCTCTATTTTTTTGGCTCCTCCTGAGCCCAGAGCACCTTCTCCGTGAGGCTGCCCAGGCTGCGGTGCTGCCTTCTGCAGCCTGGGCCTGCAGCAAAGGCTCCCGCGGCCCAGAAAAGGTGCGACAAAGTCCAGGAGGAAATTAATAACAGTAATAATACAAATAGTAATAATAGCATTAGCAATAGCATTAGTATTAGCAATAGCAGTAATAATAGAAGTATAAAGGGCACCTCCTGCTCTGAGGGCTTGGGGTTTAACCTTTCTCCTGTTGCTGCCTTTTGGCCACTCTCCCCCAAAATGTCCTCACGCACACGCGTATACACAACTACACCCTACTAAGGGGTAAGGGGTGAGAGCAGGGGACAGGGGACAGGGCAGGAGGGCAGGGGCTGCCTGGCCGTACCTTGTCGTTCTGGTAGGCAGTGACGGCGATGAAGTCGGTCTCGGGGAACACGTAGGTGCGGAAGGTGCTGTAGGGCAGCTTGAGGATGTCGTTGGCCCGGACTATGTGGAACCTGGGCTGGTACTTGTGCATGGAGTTCAGGATGGTCTGCGTGGGCGAGAGAGCACAGCCCGTGGCTGCCATCAGCCTCACGGTCCACGTTACACGCGCGTCTAACTACCTCCCTAAAAAAATCCCTTTTCTCCCGAAAACAACCGAAAAAAACCCCAAATTCACCGCGAGGAAGGAATGTCGGCGGATGCCAAAGAGGGAAATTGCTTTTTTTGGTTGATGCCGTTGCACAATCTGCCCCCAAGTAAGGAGGTCAGGGGAAGGTAGGCACAGCAGCATCTTTGCGGGTGTTAAGCACGGTAATAAAGCAGCAAAAGGGATCTCCCCGTTTTATTACGACCCTGCAAACGCGAGGTGAGTTTTCGGCACATTTCTCGCCGCTTTTCATATTTCCGTCCTTTAAAAAAAAATACTCTACCTCACCACCACAAAAAAATAATGTTAAAAAGCCTCTCGATTTGTGTCGGTGGCGGCAGAAACCCGTGCCAGCCCCAGCCAGCGCCTGCGACGTGAAAGGAGCGTTTCACCATGAGCCATGTTAAATTTATGTCTCGGAACAACGCTGCAGAAGAAACAGACATTTTTTTTTTTTTCCAACCAGGTGTCTGAAAGCCTCGCCAACACTCAAAGCCATTCTCTACCCTCTCGTTTGTGTGGGTTTTTTTGTTTGTTTGTTTGTTTTTTGTTTAAAAACCCGAATTCCCCGCGATTTGGCTGAGGATTTTCGGCAGCGGCGGCCCCCCCCGAGCCGCGCCCCGGGGGCCGCTCCGACCCCTGCCCCTCGCTGCCCGCACCGGCAACGTTTTTCTGCCCGAGAGCGATGAAATAATCCCCCAACCTGCTGTGGTCGGGCCGAAATGCAGTATTCACCGCCCGGAATTGGTAGGGGAACGGCGAAAGCTTGAGTAATTATTGTCAAATAACGTCGGCCAAATGGCTAAATAATTATCACTTCATTTCGTTTTAGAAGGCAATAAAAAAAAATCCCCCCCTTTTTTTTAACCCCAGCAATAATCACCTGCTGATGAACTGTCGGATCGCTAGTATATTGATATCATCTAGACGGGATTTATCATGAAAATGGTGCAAAAAGTCTCATTCAGGCGTGCAAATCTGCATTCCTTTAAAAAAAAAAATCATCCCTCTCTGACCAGATGGGCACTGGCTAAAACCTCATCTGCCAGGTTTAACGCAGTCCGGATTTCGGACAACGACAGATACCAGAAATCTTTAATTGAAGGAGGCGAACCGTTAAAAACACTGAATTAAACTAGTTCCCCCCCCCCCCCGTTTCAAAAAAAGCTTTTTTTTTTCCTCCCTCTCTCTCGAT